GTCGTCGTCGTCGTCGTCGTCGTCGTCGTCGTCGTCGTCGTCGTCGTCGTCGTCATGCTCGTCGTCGTCGTCGTCGTCGTCGTCGTCGTCGTCGTCGTCGTCGTCGTCGTCGTCGTCGTCATGCTCGTCCTCGTCGTCGTCGTCGTCGTCGTCGTCAACGGCGAGGGTCTTTCGAAGGCCTCCGCGGGCCTCCGAAGGTCTCCGAAGGCCCTCGAGGGCCTTCCGAGGGCTCGCGAAGACCTCGGGAGGGCCTGCGGCCAGCCTGGGCCGAGGGAAGCCCGGCACCGGGCGCAGGGCGGCGGCACGGCCACACACAACGGGGCCGAAGGCCGCGGCCACCGGCGCCTGGCTCCAGACGCGGGGGGGCCCCCGAATGTAAAGCGTAAGGTCGGCGGCGAGCGGGGGGGGGAAGTGAAGAGGAGAAGGCCTGCTCGAGTGCAGCGGGGCGTCTCCCCGAAGCCCTCGGGCCTCCTCTGGGGGATGCCTGCGCCCTCGGGGAAGGTCCCGAGGACGTCGCAGGCCTCCGAGCCGCCTGCGAGGGCCCGCCCCGTCCGAAGTCCCCCCCACCGTCTCGACCGCCGCCGAGCAAAAAAAAACAAAAAGGCCCGCCGTTGAGCCGCCGAGTGTGGAGCGGATCGGGTTGCGCGCCGCGCCCCGGGCGCTCTCGCCGAGTGTGGGCACAAAACCCACGGCGGCGGCCTCCTCCTCGCCGACGACGACGACCACGACCACGACGACGACGACGACGACGACGACGACGACGACGACGAAGACGACGACGACGGTGACGACGACGACGACGACGACGACGACGACGACGACGACGACGACGACGACGACGACGACGACGACGACGACGACGACGACCACGACCACGACCACGACTACGACCACGACGACGTCGACGACGTCGACGACGTCGTCGTCGTCGGCGGCGGGCGCCGCGGCGGCCCCCCGCCGCGGGCGCGGCGGCCCCCGCCGCGGGCGCCCTCGGCGGCGGCCCCTCGCGGGGCCGAGGGCGGCCCGCGGCCGCGCGCCTCCGCGGCGGGGCCGCGGGGCCCGCGGCCGATCAGCGCCGGAGGCGGGGGCCCCCCCGCGGCCCAAGAGGGGGGAGGGCCGCGGCCCCACGCCGCCGCGGGCCGACGCCGCGCGCCCCGCGCCGCCGCGGGCTTCGTCTGGAGGCCCACGCCCGCTGCCGGGACTCGCTCGCGCCGCGGTCGTCGTCGTCGTCGTCGTCGTCGTCGTCGTCGTCGTCGTCGTCGTCGTCGTCGTCGTCGTCGTCGTCGTCGCCGTCGTCGTCGCCGTCGCCGGCGCCGGCGCCAGCGCAAGCGCCGTCGTCGTCGACGTCGCAGGCGCCGTCGCCAGCGCAGTCGTCGTCGTCATCGTCGTCGTCGTCGTGGTCGTCGTCGTCGTCGGCCGAGGAGGAGGAGGAAAGGGAGGAAAAGGAGGAGGAGGAAGAGAAGGAGGAAGGGGGGAGGATAACGGCGGGAGGATAACGGCGAGAAGGAGGAAGGGGAGGGAGGGTTGAGAGGGACAGGGAAAGAAGGGAAGGGAAAAGGGGAAGAAGAAAAGAGAGCCCAGGGAAAGCCACTGTGAACGGCCGCCAAGCGAGGCTCGCGCGGTCTTCGACGACCTTCACGTTGATCAGCGCAGGCAAGAGGAATATATATATATATAGAGAGAGAGAGAGAGAGAGAGAGAAAGAGAGAGAGAGAGAGAAAGAGAGAGAGAGAGAGAGTCACGAAGCACACCACCAAATCGATCACGGGCACGAGATCTGCGCGCATTGGTCGCGTCGTCTACAAACCGCGACGCGACGCTGCGAATCGCGCCGGAGGCTCCGCGCCGCCGCGCGCAGCGCCAAAATGACAGATTCCACGTCGGCGACGGCGGGCGCGACCGCGACCCGCAGGGGAGACTGGGCCCCACAACGCCGAGCGACACATACCTTTGCATAGCACCAAGAAGCCGAAATACATACACACGAAAAGCACATGAAGTGGCACAGAGCAAGCGGCACCACACACGGGGTAAGCGGTTGCGCAGCGGGGCGAGCGGTAGCGCACACACACAAACTCAGCGAAACGATAAACAGGAAAAAACGCTAATATCCATCAAGCTTTGACGTCTGCCATGCAGTAGGAGTAACCAGCACGAGCGGGACACCAGCGCCAGCGATGCAAACGAAACCGCCATGCGTTCAAGTAGCCAGCAGCGAACACTGCCACGATTGAGCCAGCAGTAAGCACCCCCACTCTCGACCGAGGAGGAGGAGGAGGAGGAGGAGGAGGAGGAGGAGGAGGAGGAGGAGGAGGAGGAGGAGGAGGAGCAGGATGTGCCAGACTCACCCAAGCGGACTCCGGGCGGGGGGGCCCGGCGAGGCGGCGCTCGCTTCCGCGCGCCGACAGCCTCTCTTCCTCCTCTCTTCCCCCCCTCCTCCTCCTCCTCCTCCTCTCCTCCTCCTCTCCTCTCTCCTCCTCCCTCTCCTCCTCCTCCTCCTCCTCCTCCTCCTCCTCCTCCTCCTCCTCCTCTTCCTCCTCCTCCCCCTCCTCCTCCTCCTCCTCCTGATCACCATTCTGTTGGCAGGCTTCTCTGTCCATCCGGTGCCGCAGCGCGCCGGCACGCAAGATCTTCCACGACGCAGGTCCGAGCGAAAGTGCCGCCCCCGGCCTGGGCGAGCAGCTCGCTGAAGTGTTAGACGCGCGAGAAATACTACTGAGCAGGATTACACGCGAGTCTTCGGGTTCCCAGCGATAACTGGCAAGAAGCCGAGACAAACTCTGCACTGCAGCCACATTACAGCATCGCCACCACCCATTGACATCTATAACCCACGTAGCTCGAAGTTGTCGGCGCCATCGTCGAAGGTTTCCCTTGAGCCTCGCCGACGAATCCCTGGTATGCGCATCGCGATAAGCGCCAGCGACTCGTTCTACACGACTGCGACGATAAGTCTTGACGAACTGTCACGCTTCTCGGCGCATCGTGGTGGCAGCACTCATGAGCACGTGCTGGCTTGGAAAAAAAATGCGTTATTGGAAAGATGATGTCGCACAATTCATGGCACCGCTGTGCCATGAGTCGGACTTGGAGGGGCACAGCGTGCTGAACTGCTCCATGCGCAATGCACCCTGCCCCGTGCGCAATACGCCCTTCACCTCTCCCAAGAACTGCCCGCGAAATCCAGAGACGCTCGCACCATCTTCGCCATATCGTCTCGCTACAGCGAGTGCGCTCCTGCGCTGGAGACGATGGCGAAGAAAGTTCCGTCCGCAAGCGACGGGGAAGCGATGAACAAATCGCTCGCCACCCGGATACAACTCTCGGCCTCTCCGCTTCTCCAGCTCTGCGACGGTCCCAGAGGCCCCTGAGGAGGCCCCACGACAGCCTCCGACGCTCCCAAGAAGATGCCAAACTGACACAGCCCCGGGGGGGCCCAAGACGACACACGCGCCGCTCCACAGGCGTCGCAGACGGCCCTAGAGCGGCCCGAGAGAGCTCCAAAAGGGCAACGAGACGATCCGAGCACGGTCCGATTACTTTGCAGAGGCGCTCCACACGCCCCGAAAGCCTCCCCACGGCCCAACGGGTCTCCAAAACGGCCCAAAATGCCTCCAAGAGCAGTCCTACGAGAGCCCCAGGTAACAGAATCGACTGATTTTTCGTAGGCTTTCTTTTTGCATGTTTCACCATTCTACCTTTTCGGCTTCTCCGCAAGATCGCCTTGTGCCAACACAGCCCCTGGGGGCCCCAAAACGGCACACCCGGCCCACGAGGCCTCCAGAACCTCTTGGGCCCCCCTGAGGCCCCTTCGAGGCCCTCTTGGGCCCCTCCACCGCGGCGTGGAGGCGCTCCCAGAGGGGTTCAATAGCAGTGGCACTGCAGTCTCGCGAGATAGCGCGCGCGTGACTTACCCTTCCATGCGCTCGGGGGCCCTCTGGGGCCCTCTTCGGGCCCTCCTGGAGCCCTTCCCAGCCCGTCTTGGGACCTTCCAACGCGGCCTGGGAGTGCTCCCAGAGGGCTTCCACAGCAGCGCAGGGTAAGTCACGTGATTGAGCACGAGCGTGACTTACCCATCACTGCACTTCAGGGCCCTCTGGAGCCCTCTTCGGTTCCTCCTGGAGTCCTTCTGAGATCCTCTTCGGGCCCTGCAGAGCGCCCTCGGAGGGCTCCGGGAGCGGTCCAATAGTAGTGCAAATTCAGTCACGCAAGAACGCGCTCGCGTGACGATGACGGAGATGATCATGTGATGGTGAATATGACGACGATATTGCTGATGATGGCGGTGATGTTGATAATGATGATTATGATGCTGATGACGACGATGTTGATGTTGATTGCGACGAGGATGCTGTAGATGGTGATGATGAGGACCACGATGCTCTGAATGGCGTCGGTGACGATGATGGTGACGATCATGATCTTGACAGTGGTAATGATCGTGACTCCTTCTGCTCTTCGATTCAGCGGCAGCACTCGCTTATGGACCCCTCGGGTATGCGTAGAACTTGAGCGCGCGCGAAGCGCGCGCAACGGTTCTTGTATATGCTCTCATAAGTTTACGATCGCACACACATGTGGCACGGGAGATAGAGAAACAAGGGGCATAATAGGCACAATATTGAAACGGGTGCCCGAGATGCTTCAGACGAGCACCGGCCCCGGACGCCACCGCCTGAAGGGAGCCTGCGTGCTCTGGCTCGGAGCTCCAACAAGCTGCTGGCGGAGCAAGAGGCGACGCCATGGCTGGAGGAAAAAAATAGCCGGCGGCCACTTCGACACTGTAAGATGCAAAGGGGATGGGTACAGTCAACCCGTATAGTAAGGATGCGCGGTAAGGATGCAAAGGCCTTGGACGCCCATTTGGAAGCTTTTCGAGCGAGGCGCGGCCAACGAAGCTGGCCAAGGATGGACCGAGGAGGCAAGGATGCATGGGTACCCTTGGAAAGGTTGCCAATCCTTACTGTGCGGGTTGACTGTATCGTGGCCGCAGATGCAGACTGGACGACACTGTACGATGCAAACTGGATGAGCGGCCGAACACGAGGCCCCAACCACGCGCCCCCTGTGCCGTCACGTCGCACACGCGGGTACCCACAGCACGACCTGGGCGGAGAGAGGGAGGGGGGAGTTGTTTCGGCCTCCTGACCCCCTCTTCTTCCGCTCCTCAGTGGGCTCCTACCCGCAGGTTCCCTCCCTCGCCCTCGCCTTCGGCCTCCCCCTCGCCCTCTCCCTCCCCCCCCGCCCCCTCCCCTCCCCCTCCACTTCCCGCCCCACTCCTTCTTCCCCTTCGCCTCCTTCGTTCCGTCCGCCCCCTCCTCCTCATCCTCATGCTGCTGCTGCTGCTGCTCCTCCTCATCATCAGCAGCATCATCATCCTCACCACCAACAACACCATCACCAGCACCACCAGCACCGCCATCACCACCACCATCAACATCACCATCACCATCAACATCACCATCGTCGTCATCAGCATCATCATAAGCAACACCATCATCACAACCATCACCATCACCACCACCAGCACAAGCACGATTAACGTCACCATCCCATTCAGCATCACAATCATCAACACCATCACAATCACCATCACCATCATCATCATCATCATCATCATCATCATCATCATCACCATCATCATCATCATCATCATCATCAACATCATCATCATCATCATCATCATCATCATCATCATCATCATCATCATCATCATCATCATCATCATCATCATCAACATCATCCGGGAGGAGGGTGAAGCACGAGAGAGAAACGCAAGAGGGGGGGGCGAGGAGCGGAAAACACATGGCAAAACCAGACGGGCACATCGGGCGGGTAGAGTCTGACGGGGCGGGTCGGGAAGGCGGGCCCAGGCGGCAAAGTCGAACAAGCGGATTGCTGGAGCGTGCGTCCTGCATGAGTCGCGAGCAAGTCTCGAGCGATAGCGCGTTCTCAAATAAATCGCTGGAAAATCCACAGCGAGAACGTGATTCCTGAGTGCCGAGGGTGCGGCGTCTGAATTCATTGTGTGGATGTCCCACGCGAAAGCACGAATCCTGCATAAATTGTGAGGAACTCCCGCGCGAGAGCGCGATTTAGCAATAGATTGTGAAAAAATATCAGGCGGGAGCCGTTGCTGTTGAAACTCGGGTGCCAGGGGCCCAATTCGGTGACCCCACACTGTCCCTTGTAAAAAACAAGGTGCGAGCCCCGGAAGCAGCATTTCAACAATTGAAAAAAAAACACTTGGTTCCCCGAAGGGGGGAACAACAGTAAATATCTTCAGGGGTGGAAATTCAACAACAACAACAACAACAACAACAGCAACAACAACAACAACAACGACAATAAGTGTAAGACTGTTCGCTCCTATCTGCTCACGTGCCAATCAATACGTATATCCCAAGCCCTCGGTAGCCGCCCTCGTCGTCTGTGATCGTACCCACGTGGGGGTATATCTTCCTTACCTGCCACGTGTATTCTGTGCAGCCCCTTAAACAAGGGAAGAGAGGACGGGTGGAAGGGGGAGTGAGAAGAATGGAGCACGAGAGAAATTAGCAGGAGTGGGGCAAGGAGCAGAAAACAACTGGGTGGGCAGACCCATAGCGGGCAGGTCGGGAAGGCGGGCCCAAGCGACGAGGTCGAGCAGGCGGGTTGCCGAAGCGTGGGGTCCTGCATGAATCGCGAGGAAGTGTCGAGCGATAGCGCGATTCCGAAGTAAATCGTGAGAAAAGCCAGCGGGGGCCACGAAGAGCAATTAATCCGGGGCCACAGAGGGCAGCGACGGGGCCGCTGAGGGCAGAAACGGGACCACGAAGGGCAGAGAGGGGGCCACGAAGGGCGACAGCGGGGCCACGAAGGGCAGCATATGGGGCCACGACGGGCGACTGCGAGCGGGGGCCACGAAGGGCATTCGAATGTGGGACCACATAGGGCGACAGCGGGGCCACTGAGGGCAGCAAAGGGGCCACGAAGGGGCAGCGAGAGGGCCACGAAGGGCGACAGCGGGGCTACGAAGGGCATTCGTATGGGGCCACGACGGGCGACTGCGAGCGGGGGCCACGAAGGGCATATAATGCGGGGCCACAATGGGCAGCGACGGGGCCACTGAGGGCAGCAACGTGGCCACGAAGGGCAGCGAGCGAAGGCGATCGCGGAACCAGTACGGGCAGCGAGGGGCATCGAAGGCGGGCGAAGGGCAGCGAGCGGCGACTGCAGTCTCTAACGGGCTGGTCGGGCGGGCAGGCCCAGACGGGCGGGTCGAGCGGGCGGGTTGTTGAAGCGTAAATTCTGCTTGAACCGCCAGGCAAGATGTGGCGAGAGATTCCTGAGTGTCGAGGAGCGGCATTTGAATAAATTGTGGGAATTATCGGGCGGGAGCCCCGATTCGGTGGTAAGTTGCAGCGAAATCCCAAGCGAGAGCGCGATTCTTCAATAAATTGTGAAGAAGTATCAAGCGGGAGCCACGATCCGGTGGTAAATTGCAAGGAAATCCCAAGCGAGAGCGTGATTCTTCAATAAATTGTGAGGAACTATCAGGCGGGAGCCGTTGTTGTAAAGTGGGGGCCAGCGACACAGTTTGACCCTCAAGACTTTCCCTGATGAAAGACAGGGTGCGAGCCCCGGGAAGGGCACTTCAATCGACCAAAAAATCATGTGCATCGGACGGGGGGGGGAGAAGATGGGAGCGCACACGATGACGTTTGAAACCCCTGTTGATCAGGAATAACTGACCGAATTTCCGCCCCGTAGCAGCCGGACGTAGAAATCAACTTCGGGCCGAGTCACCCGTGACAATTATTGCCCGAGCAACTTCCGTGCAGATGAAGGGAGGAGGAGGAGGACCAGAGTGAACATCGAGCGAATTCCCGCCACTGCTTAGGAGAACGGTCATGAAGCAAAATCGTGCGAACGCGGAGCGATACGAAATTCCCCTATATCGTATCGGTGAGACAGAGAGGAGAAGAGGGGGGGGGAGGAGCCGGAGGGAGGAGGAGGAACCCAAATAAGGATACTACGTACAGAATAGCATGGCCCCGATACTTGGCCATGGCCCCGGGCCCGGCAGAGCAGGAATAGGGTTTAAACTCGGCCGCTGAATTCTAGACCACAATCACACACGGGGGGATCAAGAATAATGATTCTTCAGAAATGAAAGATGAAACAACAGCAACAACAACAACTTGAACAACGGCAAAAACAAAAACAACAGCAGCAGCAGCAGCAACAACAACAACGACAACAACAACCACAATCATGTTAAATACTGTTCGCTCTTACTGGCACGCGTGTCTAGCATTCCGTATACCCCAACCCTCGATACCCGCGCACTTCGTTTTCGATTGCACCCCATTTCGGGGGGAATCTCTTCCTTATCGGCCACTGACTGAAGCGCGAGGAAATCTCAGGGGAGAGCGCCGTTCCTGAGTTCGGGGGCTTCTCTGGCCAGGAGCTCTCGGAGTACCGATGGAGAAATATCGAACGGGAATCCTTGTCGCCGTGTTCGGGCCTCCACCAACTTGCCTGAATTACGAGAAAGTCTCGAGCGAGAGCGCCGTTTCTGAGTTCAGGGGCCTTCTTGGCCAGTGGCTCTCGGAGTAAATCGTGAGGAAGTATCGAACCGGAGCCCTTGTCGTCGTGGCTGGGCCTCCGCCAACTTGATTGAATCGCGAGGAAGTCTCGGGCGAAAGCGCCGTTCCTGAGTTCGGGGGCCTCTCTGGCCAGAGTGTATCGGGGTAAATTGTGAGGAGGACTCGGGCGGAAGCCGTTATCGTCGCAGCTGGGTCTCAATTGTTTAAGCTCAAGCCAACGCTCGAGCGGGTGCCTCGTTTTCGAACAAATGTAGCCGGCGTCGAGGCGAGAGCACGCGGAACCGTTTCCGGAGATCAACAAGAATCAGTCTTAGAGAAATGACTATTCACCAACAGCAATTAGTTTAAGACTGTTCACTCGTGTCTGCTCGCGGGCCATTCAGCACGATCGCCCAAACCCTCGATACCCGCTTGTTTCGTCTTTCATCGTGCCCCCTTGCGGGTGCATACATATATATATATATATACATAAGGGGGGGGTAGGAGCAGGAAACACCTGGCAAAACAACACGGGCACATCGGGTGGGTAGACCCCACCGGGCGGGTCGGGAAATCGGGCCCAGGAGGCAAGGTCGAGCAGGCGGGTTGCTGAAGCGTGCGTCCTGCATGAATCGCGAACACGTCTCGAGCGATAGCGCGATTCCCAAATAAATCGTGGGATAGTCCACAGCAAGAGCGTGATACCTGAGTGCCGAGGGTGCGGCGTCTGAATTACTTGTGTGGATGTCCCACGCGAAAGCACGAATCCTGCATACATTGTGAGGAAGTCCCGCGCGAGAGCAAGATTTGGCAATACATTGTGAAGAAATATCAGGCGGGAGCCGTTGTTGTTGTAACTCGGGTGCCAAGGGCCCAATGCGGTGACCCCACACTGTCCCTTGTAAAAAAATGCGAGCCCCGGAAGGAGCACTTCAATTGAAGAAGCACTAGGTCCCCCCGAGGATGGATCAACAATAAATATCTTCAAGGGTGAAAAACTAATAATAACAACAACGACAACAAAATCAAAAGCAAACACAACAACAACGACAACAACAACAGCAACAGCAACGACAACGACAATGACAACGACAACGACAACAACAGCAACAACAATCAGTTTAAGACTGTTCGCCCTTAAATGCTCGAGTGTCCAATAAAGCGTATTTCCCAAACCCTCGATACCCGCCCTCTTCGTATTCGATCGAACCCCTTTTGGGGGGTATACTTTTCTTCCCTGCAGGCTGGGCCCCGGCAAGCGGCGGGGCGGCCGCGGACCGTCGGCCTGGCCAGCGGCAGCGCTGATCGGCGGGGCGGCCGTGGACCGTCGACCCGACCCCAAGAGGGACGGACAGGGGGACGACGACGACGACGACGACGACGACGACGACGACGACGACGACGACGACGTCGAAGACGACGGCGACGACGACGACGACGGCGACGACGAACGAAAGCGAGAGCGAGAGAGAACGACAGCAGGGCCACGAAGGGCACGAAGTAGGCCACGAAGGGCGACAGCGGGGACACGAAGGGAATGCGTATGGGGCCACGAAGAGCGCGAACGAGCGGGGGCCACGAAGTGCAGATAATGCGGGGCCACAGAAGGCAACTATGGGGCCACTGAGGGTAGCAACTGGGCCACGTAGGACAGTGAGGGGGACACAAATGGCGACAGCGGGGCCACGAAGGGCATGCACACGGGGCCACAACGGGCGCGACTCCTGGGTGCCTGGGTGTCGGGAGCGCGGCGCTTGGGCAAATTGCAGGAAATTCCAACGCAAGGCTATTCTTCAGAAAATTGCAAGCAAGTCTCCAGCGAGAGCGCGACTCCAGAGCTCCGGGAGAGCGATTCCTGAATAAATTGTAAGGAAGTCCCAAGCGAGAACGCGATTCCTGAATAAAATGCGAGGAAGTCTCCGGCGGGAGCGGGGGTCCTGCCTAAATTGTAAGGAAGTCTCAAGCGGGAGCCGTTGTTGCTGTAACCCGGGGGCCAGGGGGCCAATTTGAGCAGGAAGACTTTCCCTGTCAAAAAACAAGGTGCGAGCGTCGAGGGGCACACTTTGATTGAGAAAAAACAGTATGCACCGGTGAGGGGGGATCAACAATAATCATTATTCAGATGAGAATTCAACAACAACAACAACAACAACAACAACAACAACAACAACAACAACAACAACAGCAACAGCAACAGCAACAGCAACAGCAACAGCAACAGCAACAGCAACAGCAACAGCAACAGCAGCAGCAGCAACAACAACAACAAGGTCAAATCAGCCATGAGGGACACGTGCCCTGCGTACGCCTTGCCCGCCATGGCCAGTAATCAAAGCGGGTGAAGAGGACGCGCGGCAAGCCCCCCCCCGAGCAACCCAGCAACCCAACAACCCCAACAAAGCCAAAAAAAGATGATATCCTCTCTCGAAGGCCTCCGGAGGAAACCCACTTCGGAGTTCGGTGTCTTCTCAGGCGAAACCCAGGTCCTGCGCTAAGCCTGGACGTCCATGGGAACTCCTATGGGATCCGTATAGAGGCCCGTATAAGAGCCGACGAAATTCCTGTAGTGGCCCTATAATAATAGGAGCATATGGCATCCCTGCAGTTGCCCTCCAGGGCCCCTCTCGTGACCGTAGAATCCGTGGAGTGGCCCTATAGCAGCCCATGACATCCTTGCAATGGCCCTGCAGGATCCCTCTTGTGACCGTATGATCCCTTCAATGGCCCTATAGAAGCCTATGACATCCCTGCAGCGGCCCTGGGGCTCCAGGGGCGGCGGGAGGGTCGGCGGCGTTCGAGGTCCTCATCCTGCTCTCGGCGAAGCTGGCGCTGACGGGGGCCCGCCAGATCGCGGCGCGGGACTGCGCAGCTTGCCAGAGCTGCGCGCTGCCAGAGAAGGCTCCGGACTCGGTCGGCGGCGTTCTCAAACAGCTGGGCGAAGACTACTCCAGACTTCGTAATAAAAGGGAGGGGGTCTCAACCCTCCCAGACGAGAAGTGTTAGACCCTCCCAGACCATCCATGAAAGGGCGGCCCTTTGCCCAGACCCCCCCGAACCCTCCAAGACAGCTCAAATCAGACCCCCCCCCCAAATGTGCCCCCCCCGACTATATTATGGAATCCGGAGTACAGCTCGGCATCAAGCGGGCTACGAAAAACAGCGACAAAACGGAGGGCAGGTGGACTTCAAGGAGCGCGGGGGCCTCCGTGCGTCCCGGTCTCCGCGGGTCTCGTCGGCCGCGTCGTGGAGGTGGCGAAGGAGGGCGACGCAGAGGCGGACGCCATGACCTCTTCTCGGCGGTGGAGGCCTGCTGGCTGGCCTGAGTGAGAACGGCACTCCAGCGAAGATGGGGGAGCACGTCCTTCACTTGTGGCACAAGAGGGCCAGGAGAGACGCGCCGAAGCCCGAGGGCATCTTTGAAGGGGCCCCAGGACACACAGAGAAATACACACAAGTAATAAGATTCCCCATATTTTCCCATAGTTTCTTGGTTTCTGTCTTCCCGCCCACTTCCCATAGTTTCCCATGTTGTCTGGGGGATCGAGGATGAATTGTGTCTGTGTATTTCTTTTCCTCACTCTTGGTACATGATGAAGGCCAGGAGAGACGCCAGGAGGAGGAGGAGGAGGAGGAGGAGGAGGAGGAAGGAGGAGGGAGAGGAGGAGGAGGGAGGAGAAAAAGGAGGGAGGGAGGAGGAGGGGGGAGGAGGAGGGGAGGAGGAGGGAGGAGGGAGGAGGGAAAAAGGAGGAGGAAAAAGGAGGCGGAGGAGGGAGGAGGAGAAAAAGAAGGAGGAGGAGGGAGGAGGGAGGAGAAGGAGGAGGAGGAGGAAGGAGGAGGAGGAGGAGGAGGAGGAGGAGGGCCAGGAGAGGCGCGCCGAAGCCCGAGGGCATCCTGCACGCCGCGCTGGCTCTCCGCACAGGCGGGCGCTCTCGCCGGCGTGCGGGCGGCCGCGCTGCGGGCGGCCGCGCGGCGAGGCGGGGCGCGACGCGCAGCACGGGCCCCGCGCCACGGGGGCCACAAGCTGGCAAGAAGGAGGAGGTGGAAGAGAGGGAGGAGAAGGAGGAGGAGAAGGAGGAGGAGGAGGAGGAGGAGGAGGAGGAGGAGGAGGAGGAGGAGGAGGAGCAGGGGAAGGGAAGGCGTGCCACGCCTCGGTGAGGACGCGCCCAGCACGGAGCACGGGAGAGAGGTCAGCAAGCTCGTGTGAAGGGGCCCCAGGACACACAAACAAACACACACGAATCAAAAGATTCCCCCTCTATGTTTTCCCACAGTTTCCCTGGTGACTACCTACCAGACCACCCCAACCCAACCCGAAGACCCGAATTTCGGGTTGGGGGGGGTAAGGGTTCCACATGTGTTTTTGTTCGATGTTCCCCGACCCCCTCCCCCCCCACTGGAAATCGAGGGTAAATCTGAGCCTTCGGGTTGGGTTGGGGTGGTTTGGTGGGTGGTGAACTGGGGAGAGAGGTCAGCAAGCTCGTGTGAAGGGGCCCCAGGAAACACAAATCAATACACACAGATCAGAAAAGATTCCCCCGATATTTTCCCATATAGTTTCTGGGCTTCTGTCTTCCCCCCCCCCCGCTTCCCACAGTTTCCCATATCTTCTGGGGAATCGAGGATTAGTTGTGTCTGTGCTTTTCCTCCTGATCGTGGGCAAAATGCAGAAGTAGCTGACTGGGGGACTGAACGCAGTACGCTAGCAGAGCTCGTGCGCAGTGGAGCGATACCTGCTCATCTATAATGCAGCCGAATCGCCCTCAATCTTACGCTCCCCCCTCTCTCCCTAGCGCCCCGATTGGCCATCTCGCTCCGGCTCGCCCGAAGGGTGGGGGTAAACAGAGGAGACAAATTTCTGATCCGCCTGCCACCGAGAGCGGTAGAATATTTATCGTCGTCGTCGCCAGTCATCACCACAACCTCAGCTCCCCGCCATCTGCCTCCTTCCTATTCTCACCCCCGTCCCCGCACTCCTGCTCGGCAGCCTCGACGACCACGGCGAGAATTCCACTCATTCTCCCCACCCTCTCCTTCTCACTTTCTCTCCTCCTGCCTTTCTTCTCTGCCCCATCCTCTCTCTCCTCCTCCCTTTCCTAATCGTCGTCCTTGTCCTCGCCCTCCCCCCTCCTGCCCTGACGGCGCAGGAAGCGACGACGGCGGCGCCAGCAAGACGACGGCAAGGAAGACGGCGACGCAGGCCTCGTCGCTGACTCCCACGACCTTCGAGGCAGCGCCTTCCGTGAGCTTAGCCTCCGCAGAGGGAGGGAGGCAGAGGGGGGAGGAGGAGGAGGAGGAGGAGGAGGAGGAGGAGGAGGAGGAGGAGGAGGAGGAGGAGGAGGAGGAGGAGGAGGAGGAGGAGGAGGAGGACGCCCTCCTCCTCCTCCTCCTCCTCGTCCTCCTCCTCTGCAGTCCCCCCCGCGCCCGCGGCGATGCAGCGAGGAGGCCGCACGGGACGAGAAGGACGAGGGCGGCGGCGGCGGCGGCGGCGGAACCGACGGCGGCGGAGGTCGGGGCGGCGGGGCCGACGGCGGCGGCGGAGGAGGACAGGCGGCGCCTCAGCGGGGCCGCCTGTGCTCCCAGGCGCGGCGCCATGCCTCGATGCGCCGAGCTCCTCTGCAGGGGACGGGGGGGGGCGCCGGGGAGGTGCCCTCCGTCGCGGGGGCCAGGCCCCGAGGGGCGGTGCCACTGCTTGTCGCGCTGCTCCCGCTCCCCGTCCTCCTCGTCCTCCTCGTGCTCGTCTCCTGGCGTCCTCGTCGTCCTCCTCGTCCTCGTCCTCGTCCTCGTCCTCCTCCTCGTCCTCTTCGTCCTCCTCGTCCTCTGCGTCCTCCACTGGTGGTGGTTCCTGCGCCTCGTCCTCTCTGTCCTGCTGCTCCCGCTCCGTCCTCATCCCTCCCCCTCCTGCCCCTCGTCCTCCTGCGCCTCCTCCTCCTCCTCCTCGTCCTCGCCCTCGTTGTCCCCCTCCTCCTGCTTCTCCTCGTCGTCCTACACCTTTTCCTCTCACTCCTACTCTTCCCTCTCCCCCCCTTCAACCTCCACCTCCACCTCCTCCTCTCCTCCTCCTCCTCCTCCTCCTCTCCTCCTCCTCCTCCCTCCTCCTCCTCCTCCTCCTCCTCACTCCTCCTCCTCCTCCTCCTCCTCCTCCTCTCCTCTCCTCTCCTCCTCCTCCTTCCTACTCCCCTCCTCCCCTCCTCCTCCCTCTCCTCCTCCATCCCCTCTCCTGAATCAAAAACGCCTCCCTGTCGCACCCCGAGATGCGTCGGTAGTGCGGGCCCTGGCGTTTCGCCTGAATTCCTCAAGAATTATGATCCTGAAGCTGAAACGAATGGAGGGCGGGCCGTTTTGAGAACGTGTCTCGAGCCATAGCGCCACGCATACTCCTCTGAAGTGTGCAAGAGCTTCATGGATGGACGGCGGGCCGTCTTGAAAATGCGGCTGTTGCTTTTTTAGCTCCGCGCACACTCGTCCTAAAAGTTCGCGGGAGCTTCACGGATTGATGGTGGGCGGGTTCCAAAATGTGGCTCTCGCCGTGGCACCGCGTGCACTCGTCTCCAAAATGTTGCAATAGTTTCACTGGTCGAGGACTGCTCTGCTTCAAACTGAAGCGCCCACCTGAGCGCCGCACACGGTCGCCGCAATCAAAAGGTTTAACGGATGTTTATAGTTGACGTCCGAAGAAAATTTCGGGCACGGTTTAGGAAAGCTTCGGCGCAACAGTCATGTTGATTCGCGGTGTCAAGGTCATATAATAGCGTTCTGGCAAGATTCAGATAGACAGGACGCGACAATAAAGTTGCTTCGCTGCGTTAAGACAGAGGATACTTGATTGAGGATTCTCGGACGGTCGTCTTTCCAATGGGGCACTTCCGCCTCCTACTTCTCCGCCTCCTTTTCCGCCTCCTCCTCCTCCTCATCCTCCTCCTGCTGCTGCTCCCCTTCCTTTCCTTCAGTATCCTCCCTTTCTGTCGTCGGCGTCGCCGACGGCGTCGACGACGACAACGACGACGCGACGACGACGCGACGACGACGACGACGACGACGACGACGACGACGACGACGACGACGACCTGGCCGTCCTGCAGGTCGCAGTCGCTGCCCTCCGGCGTCGGCGCCGCTGTGGGCGCGTGGGAGGGCGGCGGCGGCGGGGGCGTGCGCCCGGGCGAGCAGGACTGGTGCTTCGAGGCCACCTCCAGCACCTCCGCTGGGGGAGGGAGGAGGAGGGGGAGGAGGGGGAGGAGGAGGAGGAGGAGGAGGAGGAGGAGGAGGAGGAGGAGGAGGAGGAGGAGGAGGAGGAGGAGGAGGAGAGGAGGAGAGGGAGGAGGAGGGGAGGAGGATGGGGAGGAGGAGGAAGGAAAGGAGAGGAGGAAGAGGAGGAGGGAAAGAAAAAAATGGAGGAGGAGGAGAGGAGCAGGAGGAAGGCGGAGGCGGAGGAGGAGGGGAAGGAGGAGGAGGAGAGGGAGGAGGAGGACGACGAACGAAAAGGAGGAGGAGAGGAGAGGAGCAGGGAGGAGGAGGAGGAGGAGGAGGAGGAGGACGACGGCGGGCGGCGAGCGGCGGGCGACGGCGGCGAAGGAGCGGCGGCGGCGAAGGGCGGCGCCTCGCACAGCCCGCGCACCCGCTCCGCGCTGCTCTCCGGCGACGTCGGCCAGGAGGCGTTGTTCGCGGCCGCCCTGTGCGCGGCGCCCTGCGCTGCGCGCGCCGGCGGCGGGGTGGGGGACGAGGAGAACGGAGGACTGAGGAAAAGGGAAGAGGAGGAGGAGGAGGAGGAGGAGGAGGAGGAGGAGGAGGAGGAGGAGGAGGAGGAGGAGGAGGAGGAGGACAACGGAGGAGGAGGAAGAGGAGGAGGAGGAGGAGGAGGAGGAGGAGGAGGAGGAGGGAGGACGAGGAGGAGAACGGAGTAGGGAAGAAAAGGGAAGGGGAGGCGGAGGAGGACGAAGAGGGGGAGGAGAAACAGGAAGAGGAAGAGGAAGAGGAGGAAGACCCTGAACCCGTCGCATCATGACAAAACACGACGTGCGTGTTGTACTTAATTTCGGGTTCAGGGGGCCCTCGCCGAACCCGGGAAGCTGCCTTGGATGAAAAGCCGGTGCCTGGGCACGGGTCGAAGCATTCGTGGGTCCACGCGGAAAAAATCACGACGCCGGGGTTTGGGGAAGACGAGGACGACAACGACGACGACGAGAAATAGGAGGAACAAGGGAGAAAGAGGAACTATAATTGTGGGGGCTGGAAGCTCCATGACAGAAGCTTGGCAGAAGCTTGGCAACAATAGAATGTAAGTTGCGGGCCATATTCGTCATGCAATATACAAGAACGCGCTGGCGCTGAAGCCAAAATGGCAGCATAACATCCGAGTTGAGTCGGGATTGCGCGGGCGACCGAACAGCTCTGGCAGGGAAGATGGCCAGGACAAGAACGGAACCATAACTGTCAAAGCCCAACACACCCTAGACTCAATAAGGACACCCCGTCGTTGTTTGACCGAGAATCAGGCGACGCGGCGGGGCGCGAGCTCACCCTTTTGACGTTCAGCTCACACTTGTTCCTCGGAGCGGCACCGGAGAAGCTCGCGCGCGCGAGTGAAGGTGGCGCGACCTCGCCCAGGCCGCATCTGCGTCTGTTGGCGACCTTGGGCCGCAGACGCGGCGTCTGAAAGCCTGTCCCGAGATACGGGCAACACGATGCGCCCTCGGCCACGCGAAGGACGAGGCGGAGGCGCGCAGACGCCTTGGCCTGGCTTGTTGGAGAAAGTGATGGATGGAGACAGACCACGAGGGGTGCGCGCTGTTTCTGGCACGATTGTCTCGAGGTTCACCGCAGCCAAAAGTAGCGGGAGCTGCTCCGACCACGGCAGAAGGCCACCTCCTCGCTGGGCGCGCCAAGGGCCCCAGCCCCCCCATCCTCGGCGCAACCCGCGGGCGAGGCCTGGCCCGGCTCGCCGGCGGCAGTCGCGCGGAGGGCCGCGCTGGCGCGCCGGCGCTTGATCTTCCCCTCTGCCATGCGCATCTTCTTCTCGCAGGGCAGGTCGTCGTTGGTCGCGCGCGGGCTCTTTCCCGCTCTCGTCGTCGCCCTCCCCCCTGTTCAACGCGACCGCTGCGTGTCCGCGAGGGCCGACGGGCGCCGGGGCCCCCGCCCTCGCCGAGAACGGGCGCGGCACTGAAAAACTGCGCAACGTCGGTCTCGAACTCGATCCGCGAGCAGCACTGCCGTCGTCGAAGTCCGCCTCATGGTCCACGGGCAGGGATGGAGACCTGGGCAGAGTCCCCGGCGAAATGCGCCGCCAGGGGGGCGCGCGCAGCGCGCTTTCACCCTTCGGCGCAGGGGGCCGCGATGGCCGCGGCGTCGGCGGCGCTGGCCTTTCGGAGCCCAGCGGGCCGCTTTTGTAAGAGGGCGTGCCGAGGACCGACTCGTCAACAGGCTCTTGCCCGAACCCTGGCCACTTGCCGAGTGCGCAGAATTGGCGACGCTCTGCCCTCTGCCGCGCAGTCCACGAAGCCCGCGCGGCGCGCTGCTTGGCGCCGCGCGCGATCCCGGGAAGGTCGAAGGGCTCGTTGTCGCACAACGGGCGCGAGTCGGTCACCCACCCCGCGGCCCGACGGCGAACGCGGCGCGCATCTCCGGCTCCATGACCTGCCCTAAGCACAGGCACCCACGCACCATCGCGTCAGGAAGCGGGTCGCTGACGTGCCACGTCTGAATGAGATTGACCACTTCGGAGTCGCTCGCGCAGAATGCTGGGCGACGCGAGCCCTTCGCGAGTGCGCCGAGGGCGGCGCGCCAAGGGGGGGTTGGGCACGCGGCGGGGCCGGCGCGAAGGGGTTGCTGGACGGCAACATCCGCGCGTGAGAGTTGGCAGCCGCTCGGCCCTCGCGGGGGGGGCGGCGGGCGACTGCGGGGCCGAGGAGCTGCTCGAGCCCGAACGTGACGTCGAGAAACACACATGGTCGAGGTGATGCGCTGGGCGCGCCCTTCCTCCGCGGGCCGCTGCAACTGTCGCACTTGCCACTTACTCGGCGGGGCCATCATCGGAGGCATGCCAGAAAGACGGACCATAACCGGCGCTGCCGCTGCTCCCGGGGCGCCGCACATTGGACCGCTCGCCAGGAGGGGGCGTCGGAGATCAAGCACGCGGCGCGGCTCGACCCGCAGACGTGGCTAGTGCCACTTCGCCAAATGACGGCACTTCTTCCGCGGGCAATCGAGAGGGCGCGGCCCGCGAGCGACGACGCGGCGGCGACCCAAGAGGTTCCGGCGGCATGATCCGCGGCACGCACACGCGCGCGCGCGGCAGCGGGCGCCCACCAGCGCGCGCCGACGCGCCCCCAGCACCCGCGCGCGTGCCCGACGGCGCGCGGGCAACACTTCGATGGCGGAACTCCTGCCAACATTCATTCTCCTGAACTGCCGCGATGCAACTTGCCCCCAACTCGCCGCGCAAAATGCGACGAGCCTTCCGAGGGGGACAATGCGAGAAAAGACGAGTGGTTCGAAGGAGACAAGAACGAAACGGCCCACATACGAATGCTGATACTTGGCGGGGCCAGCCAAGGCGGGGGCGACGGCGCGCGGCGCGCGCGGCCGCCGGCGAGAAACACTGCCCACGCCGTCGAGCGCAGAACTGTCGACGCTGCCCTTGGCCAGCCCATCCGCGATGCCATCTCGCGCGCCTCTCAAGCTGCGCGCCCCGCGCTGGCCCGAGCCCAGGAGGTCGCGAAGCCGAAACACACGCGAAAATAATGTTCTGCCGGGGGCCTGGGCCACGCAACCGCGACGGTGGCGACCGCGCCAATTGAGCCCCGGCGGATTCCAATTCGCAGCGCCAATGGCCGCTGGCCATCTCGTCGGCGACGCGCTGCTCCAGGGCCACGGAGGCCCTCGAGCACCTCGTGGGGCGCGGCGGCCAAAGCAAAGCAGCGATCCGTTGAATTGATCGCGGCCATCAGCCCACTTGCGAAGGTGCTTCGCGCCAAAGTTGCGAGCGCCTCGCACTGCCAGTCTTGTAGGTGGCACATTTCTGCCAACGAACGCCCATTGAGCGCCCGCGTTGCTTGCGCGCGCGCAGAAAGGTGGCCCCTCGCACAGCCCGCCCCGCGTCGACGCCTTCCCCATGCGCTTTTTTGTTTTCTGAACGCCGCGCCACCGCGCACTTCTCGATGTTTCGCGCAGCGCATCGGTGGACAACAGTCTCGCAATGACTCGGACTGCGCCCGTCTCACGAGCGCGTTGAGATTGCGCGCGCGCCCGCACGCGGGCGCCGCTGCGCGGCGCTGACAAGCGATCGCGCAAGCGCGCAACTCGATTCGCGCGATGAGCGCGAAGGCTAGTGCCACAAGCAGGCGCCCCATCGGTTCCAGGGCCAGGATGCATTCGATCTGGCCCAACTCATATCCGCAGTCGCGCGCGGGAGAGCGACGCGCACCACGGCACGTGAAGCTTCCTTCGCTGAGATCCTCAAGACAGCGACGTAGCTTGGCCTTTTCCTGCGGTGGTTCTGCTACCCTCACGTTGTCGACATGCTGACATGTTCGTTGGCCAGCAGCACAAGCTCGCCCTCCTGATACTTGACGATGAACTCGCTGTCGCATAGTGCGGGGATGGCTCGCGCATTTGATAGGTGATCGCGGCGAGTTGGATGGGCCAGGATCTCGGGGCACCCTTGCGCCCAGTGCCTGGTTCCTCCTAGTGGGGAACTTCCGGCGCTGAGAGCTCCAAGAGATGCGCGCACAACTGGGCACCTTTGCCTCGGCCTCTGCCTTTTTCTGATTGGCGAGGGCGTCGCTGCATTTTCATGATGAATACACGCGCCACGCGCGCGGGGCGTTGCATGCGCTGCGCAGCTGACATTCAGCAGATATCATTCGCCAGAATAACTGAGCGTCGATCTGGGCAGGGCTGAGACCTTGGAACACTGGCGATGAGCAGTTGACCTCCTCGCCTACGTCCGGGCTGGCGTCTGAGGAAGCGCCGCCGACGCAGTCGGCCCCGTCCGCGGGCGCCCGCGCGGCGGCGGGATAGGCCACCCAGGGCGGCGCGGCGCTCTGCGACGGGCCAGCAACACGCGTCATAGCACCGCCGGCACCGGGAAGATCGGCGGCGCTGGCAGCCTAGGGGTCGATGCCCTGAGTGTGCCAGCCGTCCGTAGCAGGTGCGCCGTTGCTGTTGTAGTTGGTCGTGACCACGGAACCTCCGCATGATGGCAGCGCACGAAGAGAGCTTGTGGAGCATGCCCCACGGTACGGCCCACGCGCCTGAGCATAGTCGTGAAACAGTGAAATTGGGTTTCTGGAGCAGCGTCACGAGCTGGCCAGCTGCGACGCCGACCGCTCGGAGGAGCAGCCAGCTGTAGCCCCCCAAAAGCATAGCAGCTCCGCCGCTGCGCGTAGCTCAGAATCGCAGCGTAAAAAACCGCGAGAGCAGCGCGTCGGTGGTTTCGACGCGGCGACTCGAGAACTCGCAGGGTTAGCGGGTTGCCCGGAGGCGCAACTTCTCGCCTATTCGACAGAAGCGTGTGGCACGGTTCGCGATGAGGTAGGTCACGGCGTCCCCTTGCTGGCCGTTGACCACGCCTCCCTCCGTCATCACCGTAGAGCTCCTGGAGCGCGTGAGCTCACGAGTGGCCCCACCGACGTTGAGGATGACGGCGGCGCATTGTTGGGCGCTGTCCATATCGATGGCGAGCATGCTCCAATCAAAC